TGGGATGTGGAGGAATGTTCGGGGGTGCGGGGGAGAGTGCGATGCTAGCCATGCACAGCGGGGCTCGGGCGAGTGGCAACACCAGGCAGCTTGAGCCACCCCCGGGCAGGGATGGCAGGAGGTGGGGGGTGGGGACTTGGGACAGACCTGTGGGGGGATTCGGGTGAGCAGCTCGGGCCAGCCCCGTGTGGTGTCCCATTTTTACTTTGAGAAATATGGTCACCCTATTGATTCTTCTCTGGTGTATGCCAGTTTTACACTGTTGTCATTTAATTGAATTAACTGGAGTTACTCCTGACTTATAGTAGTGCAAATGAGATAAGAATCCGCACGATATATCTGAAGAGTGTGATTTCACCGTTGATTTAACGTGTCATGGTAGCATTCAGAAACGTAATGAAATAGAACACGTGAAAAGAAACTTATGATTTATTCTAGTAGCTGTCTGTACATTTTTTCAAGATGTGTTTAATGGCCATGATATGTTTGATTTGCTGGAGAGAGGTCAAACTTGTGCATATTCATTAGGAACAGGGTGCACATTCCCAATCACAGGCCCAACAAAGAAAATAACAGAACGCCACTAGCCGTCACCTTCAGCCCCCAACTAAAACCTCTCCAGTGCCTCATCAAAAATCTACAACCTATCCTGAAAGATGATCTCTCACTCTCACAGATCTTGGGAGACAGACCAGTCCTAGCTTACACACAGCCCCCCAACCTGAAGCAAATACTTACCAGCAACCACACACCACACACCAAAAACACTAACCCAGGAACCTATCCTGGCAACAAAGCCCGATGCCAACTCTGTCCACATATCTATTCAAGTGACACCATCATAGGACTCAATCACATCAGTCACACCATCAGGGGCTTGTTCACCTGCACATCTACCAATGTGATATAAATGGACACAAATCTGACATCAGGAATCATAACATTCAAAAACCAGTAGGAGAACACTTCAACCTCTGACTTCTCTGGTCACTCAGTAACAGACTTAAAAGTGGCAATTTTGCAACAGAAAAGCTTCAAAAACAGACTCTAACGAGAAACTGCTGAACTTGAATTAATATGTAAACTAGATACCATTAACTTTGGCTTGAATAGAGACTGGGAGTAGCTGGGTCATTACACAAATGGAATCTATTTCCCTATGTTAAGTATCCTCACACCTTTTTGTCAACTGTCTGAAATGGGCCATCTTGATTATCACTACAAAAGTTTTTTTTTCTCCTGCAGATAATAGCTCATCTTAATTAATTAGCCTCTTACAGTTGGTATGGCAACTTCCACCTTTTCATGTTCTCTGTGTGTGTAACAGGGTGCTGGCTAGGAGATCCAAAACAGGCCCCTGTTAGCCCGACTCCGCTTAAAAGGGGGATTGTTAGGACGGCTGGGCAGGCCACGCCCTAATCACCTGAGGGGATGCAACTACAGGCCTCAGTGACCAGCCTGCTATATAAAGCTGAGTGGGAGGAAGCAGAGGGGGAGAGACAGGAAAGGGAGGAGCAAGGAGCTCTAGATCCCTGCTGGCAGGAGAAGCTAGCGGTCTCCCAGGGTGTTGGTCTGTAAGATATGTAAATAGTAGGTGGTGGGGACAGGCACGAACAATAAAAGAGCACTGGTGCATTTACTTTGGAGCAGTCTCCGATTGAGTTTGTGAAGGGGCCGGTAGCGGTCACCGCTACAGTATGTATGTATATATAGCTTCTTACTATATGTTCCATTCTATGCATCTGATGAAGTGAGCTGTAGCCCACGAAAGCTTATACTCAAATAAATGTGCTAGTCTCTAAGGTGCCACAAATACCCCAGTAATTCTAAGATTTTCAAAGCTGTCTAAGGGATTTAGGCACTATCTTCCTTTAATTTTAATAGGAGTATGTCTAAATCTTTTAGACTGTATTGAACATCTCAGCCATAGCACTCTATAAAGAAAAACTTTTCTAATAGGACGAACAAAAAGCAAACTGCAGTTGTAGAAGTTCTTTGGCACTATAGTATGAGTACAGGTTTCAAACCGCAAACTCCATGAGAAGTTCAACTTTGTTGAAGTGACGATGAAGTTGAGACAATGTGGTATTAGGATGGATGCAAACTCTGTGAATTAAAAAAAGAGAATCCTTATCATTTGGTAATATTAGTTGCTTTGAGAGTGAAGATTTCACCCTCCCATCTTTGTGAGACTCTCTTCATACACAGCATTTTATATCAAACCCTAAAGAACACTAGAAATTTTAAAAAATATATAATTACTCTCTGCTTATCATTATTATTATTTATACTATGGTAGCACTTAGGAACCCCATTCAAGGTTCAGGGCCCCATTGTACTAAGCACGGTACAGACATGTAACAAAGAGACAGTCCTTACCCCAGAGACCTACAGTCTTCATGACAGGATACAATAGGAGATAAATCTAACAAATAGGGAGGGGTAGAGTGGGAGAATGACAGCTGAGCAGAAAGTTATAAGTATTTGTGTTTATAAAAGTAGTTTAGATTTATGGAAAACCTTCAATGTTCTTGTGCTGAGAAGGAATTCGATATTGTGGAGATGATTTCTTTCTCTGTCTCATACACATACTCTTATAGAATTGGAGATGGAAAAGGTCACGAGTCCATCCCCCTGACAGTGCAATTGATTTCTGTATTTTACCCTATCTAGTTTCACTTTGGGAGTGGTAGAGGGTAGGAGCATGTCAGAAACTATTCTTTCAAAGTACCTTTGCCAGCCAGTTTATAAATTAAGCCAGCACCACAGCTAAATGGAAGTTGACAGTGGAAAAAAATCAATACATTCTTTTGAATTCATCGTAATCATACAGACTTTCAGGGTTTCTTTTTCCTGCAACGGGGAGGGATTGTTTGAAATGATGCCAGGAATGAATAAGTAAATCACAATTGAAATGCTACAGTGGTTTTAGCTGCATGGGGTCTTATTTTCTGTTTGCATGATGGTAAATAGTTGTTGCCAAGGTGGACTTAATGTACAGCAGATGATAGTGGGTTTTTGGTTGGGGGAGGGGGAGGTTTATTTTTTTGTCTTCTGCATTTTGCTCTATACTTTCCTAATCTCTATTCCTGCTGCAACAGAAAAATCAATGGTCAAAACAGACTGACAATCGAGGTTGGCAAAACGTTCATGTTTGTTCACAAGAGATCTGAGATTGTGCACATTTTAGAAGTAGAACCAAAGGTGCAATACTCCTTTTGTAGGATTATTTTCATTTTCAGGGATTTCAATGGAAATGGGAGGTCCCATTGCCTTTTTTTGGTTTCACTCACCAAATCTACATCACCATGTCATAGGAATGGTAGATAAACAGTTAATGCATGGTCAAAATACCAGGCTTTTAAAAATCTCTCTTAAAGGAAGGGAATTTTAAGTACTAGGGAAAAATCAGTTACTGTATGTTTTCACATCTGATGATTGAGAAAACCTAGAGTATCCTGACAATTTTAAGATGTTTATTTTTATCTTTATGATTTATTTCCTGTGACATTAAACACACCATATTCTGTCTCTTCTGAGAAGAGGAGATTGTGTGGTTTGCATTTCAGATACATTACTGTGGTGTGACGTTTAAAATGTTTTGAGTTCAGGTGCCATATTTATTGTTGTTGTAGCACCACTGGGGTCAAGGTAGTTACATGAATTTATTCCCCAGTTAGGTCTCAATAATAATCTGAAAATGCAGATGCTTATTTGAAGCTTATTTAATCCGTTGAATCTACAAAATTTGCTTGGTGGGCACATGAGGCAAGATGTATATCTGCTCATCTGATTGGCTTTGTATTCTAGCCAATTGGGAAGCCAACTGAGATCAGGTGGTCTTTTTGTAGTGAGACCCATCAGACAACAGCAAATTCCATTGGATGGCTAGGATTTGGAGGTGCAAGACTTTTCTGAAGCTCCTATAGCCATGTTCTAACAACAGCGCTGGAGCGAATTCTTAAAGTATCTCAGCACTGCTGGTGTAGACTAGAACATGGAAGTGCAGAACAGAATAAGAATGAAAAATAATCCCTGGTGTGGGTGAAAAACTCAGTTAACATTTCAGAAATGTCCAAAAATGGTGGTTCAGGTTCACTGCTTAGAATGAGCAAAAGCTGGAGCTGGGAGTGTTTCTGATTTTTTCCTAACTGGTTTGCTCATCCAACCTTTTTCTTTAGCTGAATTGTCAGTGCACTCACCTGGAAAGGCAAGAAAGCACAGGTTTTTGTTCCGCCTCCATCTTCTCGCTTGACACTAATTATTAATTGTCATCCTGTTGGTTTAATTAGATATGTGATGGCCTGCCTTCTGCTGAGAAATGTTTTCATGGAACACATCACACAGAGTAAATTATATCCACATAGTAAAGAAAATAGTCTGTTAATTTTAAATTAAAAAGCCCAAAAACTTATGCAGTGAGTTTGAGAAAATACTTAACTAGAAATAATTCTTACTACAAAAAGTGGATCCATTATTTATTAGGCCCAATATTTTGCAGGCAGTGCATAATCTGTGAAAATGCTCATCAATAACAACAAATAGCTACTGGTTCTCTACAGTAACTACAGTAATTATTCTAGTAGAAAGATAACATTTGCTGGGGCTTTTTCCTCTGAAGTGCTGTTTCCATTCTTTCTTAAATACATCTTTCTGATGCCTTGATTATTTTCTAGTGTCTCTTGCCCTTTTATAAAGCACTGACTGGAATGTGTTTTTTGCTTTTCCTATTAAACTTTAGTTGTTAATGCAGAGCAAATGTCTCAGTTACCGTAATATTGCTGCCTGCTTGGTCCTATTTGGTTTAATGAGTTGATTTGTATGGTAATTAGTAATATTTCAAAGCTGCTGTTTGTTTACTTCAGCTACTTAAAAGAGTCTTCATTAAATATGAGTAGGAGAGTGGCGTTCAGAATAAAACGCTTTCTCTCCGTGCTTGGCATCTTTCCCTTTGGGAATGGTTAATAAATATATGCAATTTTTAAAATTTCTTTTCTCAGACCCAAATAATTATTATCACAGAAGAAATGAAATGACAACCACAGATGATCTTGATTTTAAACACCACAACTACAAAGAAATGAGACAGGTAGGCCACAGAGAATGCAATTTCAGTTCTGGCATGTGTACACATGGGGTGGGTGATTGTGTTGGGGTCCTTATTTTAGGTAGTTGAGCTCTGTCGAACCTTAGATTTTGTGGAGTATACTAGGGGAAAGGCAAACTTATGGGAAGTTGAGAATTATGCATTTTCCAAATCTATCCTAACTGCAGATAAGTCTTTTCCAAAAATACCTCTGCCAAGTTATTTTGTGAGGGCTTACAAAGGAAATTCAATGTCTATCAACAGAACTTGATATTTTTCATTTATTACCTTTGGACAAAATATTGGGGTGTGTTATAAACCATTACAGGAAATAAATTCTAGACCTCAGAAAGCAGGTTTCTTTTTTATGGTAACCTACTTTAAAAGGCACATGGCTTTTTCCTAATCATGAATGTTTTGGCCAGATGGTAGATCCAGATCTCTCTGAGGTCGGTAGGAGTCTTTTCATTGATTTCAATGGACAGTGGATCAGCCTGCTAATATTTCCATCCAGTGTCATGTTTATGCATCTGTTATACAAATATATATTTAAGGACTTGTACTAATATTTTGGAGTTATTTAAGCTGAGCATTTTCCTCTCAAATGCTACAGGGAAAACATTAAAAAAGAGTGATGAGTTGAAGCTGCAAGAGAAGGATAGTTAGACTTTGTCACTAGCAAAATTGTGTGCATTGAAGGAGGTATTTTATGGAGAGATATACAAAATAAAATATTATAAACCTGGAAAGATTATTTACAAATCAGAGCTTTATTGTGTTACAGTTTCAGCTGTGAACATACTGTCTTATCTGGATTTATGCATTGGTGTGCTATTCTCTAAAATTTTTGTAAGCTCACATCAATATGAACACAGCATATTAAATATGATTTTCCTTTCTATTGCTGTAGTGACTATTATTACATCAAAATGACTTTTGAAACTTTACATTTAACATTTATGTGACATTTGCAGCTTTAAAATTGGCATTTAATGTACAGTACTTTGAAATGTCAATGTGTTTTTAAACTTCTCTCTTGATGAAAAAATCTATCTGGCTACAAAAACGAATGCTGCAATATATGGCTAAAAGTCCAGCTTCTTTCTTTGTCAACCTTCCACCCAATCCTAACAGGTTTCTCCACAGTGGTGGTGGCATGTACCCATGTATGTTGTTTCAACAGTCTGCTCTTGTGACTCTCCGGAGTGCTGAACATTGTAATATGCTCATTCCTTGATAGTGCACCGAGACTTCTTGAGTAACTGAATTGTGGCATATTTCAATGTATTGTGTGATCATATGAATAAAACAGAGAGGCAGGGTCAGATTCCTTACTCGGTTACCCCAGTGTAAATCTACAGTCAGGAGTTCCCCTTCCCAAACTTGGTTCGTGGCTTGTTCAGGGTAAGCCCTTAGCAGGCTGTGAGACACTTTGTTTGCCTGAGCGTCTGCAGGTACGGCTGCTTGCAGTTCCCAGTGGCTGCGGTTCACCATTCTCGGCCAATGGGAGCTGCAGGAAGCGGCGCGGGCTGAGCCACCACTTCCCACAGCTCCCATTGGCCGGGAACAGCAAATCACGGCCATTGGGAGCTACAAGCAGTCATACCTGTGGATACTCCGGTAAACAAAGCATCTCGCGGCCTGCCAGGAGCTTACCCTAAACAAGCCGCGAACCAAATTTGGGAACCCCTGAGAGTAACTCAGCTGAAATCAAAGGAGTTATTTTGGATTAATACCACTGTAGATGCAAATAAATATTAATTTAGGGATAAGGGAGATCACAATAGGTACCAGCAGGCTCATGCCATGTAAATGACCATGAACCAAAAGAAAGCTAATACTGTCAGTCTAATTTTAGATTCACCAGCCTTAATTATCTCCCTTTAACTTCAAATGGGGGTGGGGGGAGGAATCTGGATTTATATCACCCCAGACATAGGTGTGGGATGTGCTAAAGAAATATTTCTTCCTGTCCTACTCTTCAAATATAAAGATAATATGCTTGGTCTTGAAGTATGTGAATCATTATCTGAGTGCTGAATCTTCAGTGTATTTATACTGCATGAGTCATCATTCATTTTTACTGAGCAATTGTGTACTAAGTCACACGTTTAGTTCACTAGAGATTTCATGGCCTATATTTCTAGCACAAAGATTAGACAAATAGAAACTCAATTGGCATAATTAGTGTCAAGAACAATAACTGTAAATACATTTTAGATACTAATTGCACAAAGACAGGTTGGTCAGGTTTGAAATATCTTTGAAAAACAGCTTAAAAAAGAATTATTTCCCTAGTTCTTCTATAAGGAGAAAATCAAGATGTGATTAAATAATGGTAAGGGCTGTGAACTGGTCAGCTGTGAACTATGTCCTCTGCTGGGCTTTCTCAAGTTGGGTGCTTCTGTGTAGTAGTATCTCATTTTGTAGCGCTCTTGTCATTTGGCAAGCAGGGAGACGGTTCGGGGTGTGATTGGAGGAGATCTGATATCACTGCAACATACCTTTGGTGACACTAGAGAATTTAATCATTGTCTTTGAGTCTTTAAACAGACAGCCTGGCACAACAGCTTTAAGAGACATGTCGATTTCCCCATTCAAGATAATGTGTTCACGGTGCAGTTTATTAATGACAGCTTTGTTAACTACTTCACTTCTGACCATGTTAGAAGAGAGAGATAACTAATGTGTTTTCCACTCTGGTTGTTTATCATAGACACTAGAAAGGGACTGGCAGAAAGTGCTCCATGGACCACATTTTGGGAACCACTATCTTAGGCTTCAATGCATAAGCTATTTACAAAAGGCAGGGAATTTTACCCCATCACCTACCATAGTCAAATTTTGCGTGCAAAAGTGCATTCAAAGCTCTCTGTGAAATCAGAGTGAACATTCTCCATGCATCTGAGAGCAGCGTTTAGGCTACAGTCTAAAAAGTATTTTCATGTTACATTCATGTTTGTACATGAGCATGTTAGAATGATTTGCAAAAGCATACACTCCCCAGAATAATTTAGGGAGTGGGCATTTGATCACATGTGGATGCCTATGAATAGGATAATTAAGGCAAAACCCTTCTGCTAAGACGAAACTTCAGATAATTTGGGAGTAGATACTTTTTATTTCCAGCAAATATTTTTCACAGCATTTTGTGCATTGTGAAGAGAAAGGGGCCTGAACCAAAACCAGGAATCCAAACATCCCTAAACTTCAGAAAAGTTCAGATCCCAAATCTGGGCCCTGTCTCTATAATGGACTGAAACAAATGCTCAGGGTCTGATTTTTGTCTGGAAAATATTACCTGATTTCAGTGGGAGTTACTTGTATCCTCTGGGAGAGAGAATCAGGCCCCCATCAGCCCTGAAATTTGAGAAAGTTGATCCAGTGTTGCAGCTCAGGCCCATCTTTAATTATGGAGGTGGTATGATGATGATATTGAAAATTCCTCTGAATTCAGCAGGACTGAATATGTTACCAATAGAACAGCTCCACTGGAGGGTGAAATACAATTAGGTCTGGAGGCTCAGAGCAAGGTCCACCACACCCCCTTGGCACCACTTTAGAGCTGTGGGGAAAGGGGCACTCCTGCCATTCTGAGAATCTTGTAGCCCTCAGATGCAACTGAGGTGGTTTCTGCATTAGCCCCCAAAAGTCCAGTGAATAAAGGGGCTCTGTATTTAGGCCTGGGAAGGAACCACAGGACTGGTCCCTCAGTGGTTCCAGTGGTCCAAAACCCCTTCACAGAGTGCATGAAATGGCAGTGGCCACTGTCCCAGTCCATAGGCCAGAAGAGTATTTTCAGCTGAGCTGTATTGCAGTCCTACTGCTTCCCCAAAGATTGGGGGGCCAGTTAGTTCTGGACTCAAAACACATTCCCTTTGTGTGTGAGAAGGGGAGAATCACACCCGCAGAGCCCAGTCCAATGGGCAGAATTTATGCAATATTCCCTGTGTGTTAATAGAGTAAATAATTGCTGATTACAAACAAATAACAATTGTCAATTAGCAAAATTGCTCCTGGAAATGCTTTATAACCCTGCTGGTTGTTAATAACACTCAGACTGCATATTACCATAGATTGTCTTTGACAGTTTGTGCAGGCAGAAGGAAAAAGCTGTCTGAGGTTTCAGATGGCCTATTGTGCAATTTGTATTGTAGATAGGAAAGAAAAATGAGTATGAAAAAATGTTCATTCATATCCCTTATTCAGTACCATCACCCACTCCGTGGAAGACCTTGCAGTGCCAAAGATCCAATGGCATTTGTTAAGGAGAGAGATTAACACAGAATACTTTGGTTGTGTGGATTATTTTGGAACACTGTTTATTCTTTATAAAATTCCAGGGTGAGGATCTGACTCAGTTTTAAGAGTAAAAAATAAAAGTTACTTCACAATTGGCATCATGTGCACCAAATTTAAATATAGACTGAATTTTTATTCCTAGTTTATAAACCCCTTAACATTTGAGTTTATATGGAAACATGAACTATCTTCATTATACCTGCACTGCTGGGCTCTGCTAGAATATTAAGAGATAATGAAAAATGTAATTCATGATACACCTAGGCCCCAATTAAAAAATTAAGTATGTGCTTAATGAGCATGTTGTGAATATTTCCATTACTTTAATGAACATTGATTTCAGTCCCCAGTTCCAGGGCCTGATCCAAGGCATACTGAAGTTAGTAGAAATATTTCCATTGACTTCAATGGGTCTGGATCAGGCTCACTGTGCTCTCCTGAATAAGAATAAACTTCAGTTCTTAAGTGCTTTCCTGAATTGGGGCCCGACATATTATAGTGATAGGCATCTTTGAGATGTTTCAGCTCTCTTCCCCTAGTCCTTCATGAGACTCTGCATTGGTCAGAAGCCTGTTCCCACATGGAAATGGAAAATGGTGGAAGGGTCTGCCCATGTGGAGTTTTTTTGCAGAATCAAAGCCCAAGTAAAACCCAAGATGGATAGATATGAGTCAAATACATCTTTTCATTATCTATAAATTAGAGAAAGAGAATTCCATCCTGCTATAACAGACCTCTTTTCATGTTTCACAATGGCTATACATTTTACTCATTCTGCTTTGTATGGTAGGTAATTCAAGATAAAAAGGATTTGTTTTGTACAGTAAATATGTGTTTCTGGTCCAGTGTCCTATTTACCATGCCTTTTGAGACTACCATCAGAAGAACAGTCACGTAAACAAAATATTGGAAAGTTTTAAAGATTATTCTCAAATGTGCATTTATAGTTGGAGTAACAAATATATTCAGGTGATATATTCTAAATGATAAGAACAGAGGATAACGAGTTACTAATATACAAATTAAGACCAAATTAAAGAATAAATGAAAAAAAAATAGAGGAGTGGGAAAAGGAGGAGGATGGGGTAGGGGAGCGAAAAGTGATAGGGAGGTCATGATTAATCCAAAAATGGTTCTAGTTTTATTCCATTTATTATAGGTAAGGAAAGTTCCTCATAATTATTTTTCACTTTAATTGTCACAAAGTGACCCTTCAAATGTAAACTCATACTTAAACAGGAACTTGCATGATAGGGTCCCAAAAAACTGCTGACCAGATATCCTCAAACAATCAAAAATGTATGTATGTGCCAAGATAGGTAGGTGAGCCAATATTAGTGTTATTGATCAGCTTATTACACCTACAGGTTATACACACAGCTAGCCTATGGATCCACATGCTCTTATTACAGTTAACTCATCTTCCCTTTCTCCCCAACTACAATTGTTTCATCCACCCCTATAGCTTTTAGACGATAAGCCCTTTGAGGCAGTTACTGTCTTGTCTTTTGCTAATTGTTTATACAGCACCCAGCATGATGGGGTCCTGACCTAGTTGAGGCATCAAGAAGCTATTGTAATATCAAAACATTGATGATAGTGGTGATGAGGATGAGGTTGATGATAGTAATAAAGGAATTTGTCTTAAATTAAGACACTGGGAGTGTCATACTGCATTGCAATTTCCAGATGAGGATGGACTGAAGAAAGTTGTTCTTTTGTTTGTAAAATTGGTCTGTGTGTTTAGTGAACTTACGAAAATATCACATCATTTGCAACGTGATTATAAATAGAACCGCACTCCTTTGGTGATGTTCTCACCAACATGAATTGTGTTTTTCCCCTTAGATTTGCTAAATTGGAGCCTGGGTATTGGACATATCTAATTATTGCATTCCTAAAATCGTCAGCCCTGTTGTCATTGTTTCTAAATTAATGCTGTGAGAACAAAGTTATGTTATGCTACAATACTTGTTCAGTAGGGTATGTACAATCTAGTAAAATGATTGTCTAATCCATATTCCCTCGGATTCCAATTTATAGTAAAATCCTTATTTCTTTAAATAATCCTTTCCAGTGAACAAAATCAATGCAACAAAATCAAGGCCCTTCTTATCATTCAAAACTATTTTCTTTTATTTCTTATTAGGACCTCATGCTTTGAACTCACACATTTATTTCTTTTAATCCAACTGATACTGATCCTGGGAGTACAAAAATTGAACTCAGTTGTCACTAATGGTCAAGCAGTATTTGGTATACAACACTGACATGAAGTTAATTTGCAACAAGACACATTACAGTACCTATCAGTTCAGCAGATTTGAATGTCATGTACATTAACTGCATACTCAACAATAAATCTTTGAATTTACAGATGTGCATGATAAAAGCCATCACCAAGTCAGAGAAATATTACCCCATATGAAAACTGTTAATCTCACAAGCCATCCACATATCTGATGCTGAATGTAGTAGCATGTGACCGGCCTTGCTACAGATACATAACCCCAAACCTCTGAAAAGTTTTAAGGATCAATGACATATTGAAAGATGAGAAGTCTCCTATTCTTTCCTGTATGTCCGCACACAGTGGGGAGAGTTCAGATTGTGTAGCATGCTCTCCCCCTTTCAGAGGCTTGTCTTGCTATTCTTTCCACATCCATATCAATTCCTGCTGTGCTCCTACCACAGATTTCATACTGTAATCTGAGCAGGGTTGGACTTGGTCTGTACTCAGGTGGAGGCCTCCAGATATAATCAGAATGCTGCAAAAATGTTTTTAAAGGATTCAGCAGGTGATGTTCTTCCCTCTTACAGAACCAGAACCCCAGTATGAGGTCATGGGTTCAGTGCTTCTGGAGGTATCCATTGAATATTTGGCTAGGGGCCTGGAACCCCTACATTCCAATCACAACTCGCCACTAACTCTCTGTGTCACAGACCCCATTGTAAAAAAAGGAAGTAATTATTGTACTTACCTATCTCACAGGAGTGTTGAGAGGATTATTTATGTAATTATTGTTAGTGCTTTGAAAATGTCAAGTGTTATATACCAGGAGTGCAAAGTATTATTATTTTTATTTATTTTTATTATGACTGTTCCTCCTCTCAGATCCTTCATTTAAATAATGTCCGATGTAAGAAGGATTTTGAACTTCACCCACACAGTGCTGCTCCAGCAGACTGTTATACTTGTTCTAGCTGAATGAACATTTGATTCTGAGCCAGCAGACCTATAACGATCTCCAAAATTGATTTTTTCAACAATTTTTGTTTTTCTCTGAAAAATTAAAATGAATATAGTATGTTCCCCCTACATCTAGTTTTGAATCATAGAATCATCTAAACCTTGAATGAGTTATAATCAATATTGTGTATATATATTTAGTACATATATATAAAATATACATAAGTGCGTCTTTTTTTCTTTGACAGTTGATGAAGGTTGTGAATGAAATGTGTCCAAATATCACGAGAATTTACAACATTGGAAAAAGCCACCACGGACTAAAGCTGTATGCTGTTGAGATCTCAGACCACCCAGGAGAACACGAAGTTGGTTAGGACGATATTCTGATTAAATCTATTTCAGGAGGGTTTTATTTTATTTTTTTAATTCCACACGTCTGCAGCAATTATCGCTGAAGAAACTTAGGTTCACTGCAGCAGTGATTTTGGAATGTGTGTGGGAGGAACTTCAGCGTTATATTTCTAATAGGAGAAGAAAAGATTGAACATAAATAGAAGACATTATGGGAGTGGGATCCAATTAATTAATGCTTATGGGTTATAGTATTTACTGATTTTAAAAAAATAGAGTGGATTTTAGTGCAGTGGAATGTGGTTGGCTTACAGCCCTCAAGACTGAAGTTTCGTGTTTATCTATAGAATATGTGTACCACAAGTACAGGCAGCTCAAATTTCCCTCCGTTGCCTCACTAATGTGTCTCAGCTGAGTTCTGGGTGTAGTGTCTGGTGGTGAAACTAGTTCAATCTACAGACCCATTCTGTCTCTCAGTTGAGAATACCAACAAGGATGCTGATATGATGGTGGGACTGGTATGTAGAGGGGAAGAAGCTTCAGCTTACAAAAAGGATGTAGCAATGCACATGATGGGGAGCTGTGCATCACATGCTGTATGCATCACAGTGCTGCCCCTCAGGTGAAGAAACTGCACAATGCCATTTACAGTCGAGGTCTAGCTGTACCCATGTGGCATGGTCTAGCTCTGTGATCTGGATTGAGATCACCAAGTTATGTCACATAAGCCACTGAAGGCTTTAACATTGTAATGAATATCAGCTATCACTGACCAGTCACTTTGGCTGAACTTAGACCAAGGCAAAAGGTTCCATAGAATAGTATGGAACTACTTACCCATTCAGTCCATTTAGCCTTCATGGACTACATCCACAACCAGTGTTCCACAAATGCCCATGTAATAATTATGAGTATGTCTATTTCCCCAGGCAGAATCTAGCATTTAGATGGGAAATTACTACACACAAATGGTTGCAACCTCAAATATTGCAAGCATATTTGTGGAGGCCACTTGAAAAATCTAGCCAATGGTCTTCATATGCAGTATGTGCACTCCTTCTTAATTAAGTGGCAGTTTAGTTCCATATTTCCTAGTCTAGTGACATTCTGAAGGATAGAATTATTCCAAACACTACCAATGAGATGCAGAGAGAACCCCCTTCTCCCACCATGTGCCTGTGAAGGAAGAATTTGGTCCCTAGGTATAATAGTCTACAGTATTTTTTGTTAGTGGTATACATGGTTAAAGGGGAGTTGAATACATCCTGTCAGAACTATGCAGTAAAGGACAACAAATATTGTGGCATTTAATAAAACCTTGCCAAATAAGTATGAATCATTGTTTTAGATGAATGAAAAGAGTGCCTGAGGTCAGAGACGTATTCTACAGTCAGCAAGAGACTCTGTATTATCTATCCTTTATTTATGGATAGATTTGTCATGTTATCTTTTAAAAGCATAGATCTTTTAAAATGGTGTTCCATATCAGTGTTTTACTGTAATTGGAAAACACAAAATAATGTAATTTAATTTTGCACCATGTTTTTCAATGGAAAATGTATCCCAAATGCTTTGCATGGTTGCTATAGATACTACCAATACGTAATTAAGTTATGGATAGGAGCAATGGGAAAGAGAAATTAAGTGGTATAGGTAAGTTAGAAAAGATACATTTTTTCAGCTGAGATATATTTATTTTGGGGGCTGACCCAATCCCTGATGAAGCCAGTGGAAAGGCTCCCATTGACTCCAATAGGTGTTGGGTTGCATCCTTGGTTTGCTCCACTAACTACATTCCTGTCCTATTTGTTTTCAACAGGTGAACCAGAATTTCGCTACGTCGCGGGGGCTCATGGGAACGAGGTGCTTGGACGTGAGCTAATGCTTTTGTTAATGCAATTTATGTGCCAGGAATATCTGGCTGGGAACCCACGCATTACACGTCTCATTGAGGACACCAGAATTCATCTCCTTCCTTCAATCAACCCAGATGGATATGAGATGGCATATGAAGTGGTAATGTGACTGTCAACATTACTAGCAATTATCTTATTCATAGTAGATTGGTAAAATATGCTCCCATTATCATGATTTTTTTTTAAATGACAAATTTGGATGTAATCAAAATGAACAAAGCCAATAAAGCAACACTCCAAAAGGAAAAGCAGAACCCACTGAGATAATATATTCAGTAAAAACTGGAGTGAACGGTGTTCCAGATGATCTCAGTTGCTGTGAGGGCATGTAGGGAAAGAGGCTGCCTGTAGGATAGCCAGGACACACACACCATATAGAGTAGTGTAGTTCAATATGAACATCTTCAATTGAATTTGGAAACCTAATGGTAGTCAGTGCTGTCTATAGTTCACATGTGTGATGTATACAACATGAGAAGCACAGCTAAGGTTTGGAGAATTGTGATATCCACATCCAAGTGGAAAAATTGCATGCCCCCTGATCAGGTACAGATGGAAAAAGTTATCAGGGTTACTCAGTAGATGCCAAGAATCCAAAAGGACCCAATGTTTGTAAATCTCAGTCTCAACATACAAACGTTCCCCCTCCATAAATCTGTCACCTCTACCATATCATCTGGGAATTTTCCTTCATGCCTATTCTTTGTCTTGTTCCAAATAACTGTTCTTTTTATATTTTTAATTTGAATGGGTACTAGATGATGACAACTTTTCTTCTGGTTCTGAACTTATATGCCAAACATCAAGGTCAAAACCCATGACAATTCACGAAAGCCAAAAATATGTTTATGAAATTTTGAGTAATGACGATGAAATAATATGAGTGAAACTAGTAAAATGAAATTGTTGAGATAGATATGCCAGTTAAATATTACGGAATTTAATTTCATTCACTTTGGGGAGGAGTTTATAGCTAATAGTTAATAAATGACAATGATCTTATTTTAATATAGCATCTTTCATTTCAAAGGATCCCAAAATGCTTTATAACCTTTACTGATTCTATATAGACTTGTGGATAATTGTGTGTGTATGTGTATCTTTAACACAGTGGGCCAGATCCTTGACCTCTGCTAAGGTTGCTTTGTGCTCTTGGAGTGACACAAAGAAATCTTAAACTGGCCATAAAAGGGCTACTGAAGATTTCCCAATATAGTCAACTTTATACCACTTTCTCCAGCGTGGAGGGAACATGTCAGGGGCAGGATGGGACTATGATGTAGCACATAGCCTCATCCAATCAAGTCATCCCTGTGCAGCTTCCAGCTGCTGTAATTTAGAGCAGTCCATAGTCCACTACAATTAAAATGCATTCTCCTGCCAGAGAAGTACAGTCACTCTGGGGATAAAATTCAGTACAGACAACAACACTCCATAGCACTACCAGCCAGATATTGAAGAATAGAGTAGTTTATCCAGTTGGAATTTGAGCAGAAAGATTAGGCAGACAGAATATAATTCCCAATGCTAGAATTAGATAGCAAACACCCATTCTCCAAAAGAGTTCATAGGGATCCTACGTAGCTACAAACATTTAAGACCTTGAATTTATATTTTTACAGAAAGATGCATGCAGCTATTCAATGTAATACAAGCTTGATTGGTGAGAACACAGTGAATGATTTGAAAATTTGGTTACAGGGTTCGGAATTAGGAGGCTGGTCTTTAGGAAGATGGACTCAGGATGGCATTGACATCAACAATAATTTCCCTGATTTAAATACCATGCTTTGGGAAGCTGAAGATAGGAAGAAGTTTCAGAGAAAAGTCCCAAATCATCATATTCCAATTCCAGAATGGTACCTTTCTGAAAATGCTACAGTAAGTACAAATAGCTCCAGAGAGAAAGGGAGAGACAAAAGAAGGGTGGGGTGAACTAGGGATGAAACCTCATGAGATATTTGTATAAAAGCTTTTAAGAACCTATATCTTATTCAGAAACTTAAATCAGGAAGAGAGATGGTGAATGATAGACTGTATTAGTACATATAACAGTGCATATGAAAACTTATATTCTCCCCCCTCCCCGCCTGACTTACATTAACTTCATTTTTTAAAAATAATGAGAATTATTGTAATTATATTAATTTTGTGGGTATTTGTTTGTATCTCTTGGCCTCTTTTTTGTGTATTTTGGAGAGACTGAGTTTTCCATCATTGTAACTAGACTACAAGACTAGTGATCAGGCAAATTTCCCCTAGGTTTCCTACTGAATTTTCTTTTAAAAAACAAAAACAAAACAAAAAACCAAAAATCTCTTAACAGATCAGACTCCATCTTATATGCAAAACCATCTCAATGACCTATGTTAATTGCACATATTGCAGAGACATTAAGTCATTTCTGAATGTCTTACTTTAACAGTGGCCAATATTTCGAATGGCTGCATATAGCCATCTTGAGATGCAATGAGAGGAAGGCACTTAACCCTTGTGAACTCTGTGTGATTTAGAAATATTTTCATACTTAAGCCTCTTTGGTTTGCAAATTCTTTCATTTCCATTGACACAAATGGGAGCAGAGGCAGGGCCTTGGCTGCTGCTACAGAGTGAATGCACTCTCACTTCTGAACTGGCTGTTTACCAGTTTGGCACCCCAGCATAAGGTTGAGCAATATGAAGGCTGTATTTTATACTGGTTGCTAGTTGCCTCAAGATATACAGCCAGTGGTCACAAGGATGCAGGGAAGCCCTTTCCCTTTCTCACTCCCTTTGTGCTAGCTACAGGGAAAAGGGTGACACAGGAATTGCAAGGCTCTGTGCTAACAGAGGATCCTCTTGTATTCAGATGATCCTCCCATTGCCAACTATGCTGGCTTTAGGGTCACTTTGCACCAGTGGCTTAGCATTAAGTGACCAATGTGCAGCTGAAGATTGAGGCCATAGTTTTTAAGTGATGGGAGCTTTTCAGCTAAATCCTCATATATTGCTTTAGTTTTAATATCACACAATAGAATATGGACAGAATTAAAGAAGGAACAAAATCAAAAGCTTGACTCTGAACTTCTTTGAATTCCTGAGAGTTTGGGTTCAAATCCCTGGCTCTCATTCTACTCTCTATAGTTCAAGATCCCAAATCCAAATGGCCGTTTTCCAAATTCTGGTGCAGAAGCAGCCAGCTTTTCATGAAAAATAAGTGATTCTTCCAAGAATTTGGCCTGAGATGGTAAAAATTTCATAAGAAAGGGGGACTTTTCAAGATTTTCATCATTTTGCTCAAAAATTGTATGAATTCAACTCATGGGATTTCAGGTCTATTGAATTAAAATCTGAACCCAAACCCTAGTTCTGATTTGGCTTCAGACTGTATGTTAAACCTAATGCATAATTGAATACCGTCTCTTTGGTTTCTGTCCAAATAAGTGAGGACTACTGAATTTCACACCCCTCAACGAAGCTGTTGTTTTCCATCTAGGTGGCAGTTGAGACTCGAGCAGTGATAGCATGGATGGAAAAAAATCCATTTGTACTGGGTGGCAATTTACAAGGAGGAGAACTGGTTGTTGCATACCCATATGATATGGTCAGGTCAACATGGAAAACTCAGGAGCACACACCTACCCCTGATGACCATGTATTTCGGTGGTTGGCATATTCATATGCCTCCACTCACCGACTAATGACAGATGCCAGAAGGAGAGTGTGCCATACAGAGGATTTCCAGAAGGAAGATGGGACTGTTAATGGGGCCTCATGGCATACAGTTGCTGGAAGTAAGTCTCTGAAGAAACTTTGCCTACGATTCATTGTAGAACAAGTGTGTTAAATGCTATAACACTGTAATTTTATGGTACTTGTCACACAATTCATGGCAGGTAAACACCTACACTGAGAGAAGAATATACCTTAATGAAATTTGCCATTTTGCGTTTCATGGATGTTCATGGATTGACAGAGAGCTGTCAAAATTTCCTTGCAAATACCTCATTTACTGATGATGTTTTCCAAAGGTGTGCATGTCATACCTTATTTATTAAACACATTTAAAAGTTGTCTGTCACAAGAGAGCCACATCAAGTGTCATACGGTCCATTCCAAAATTAAAATTGATCCAAAAGAACCAGCCAGACCAAGACAGGAAGGAACCTGCCAACCTTAAGCATGTCACTCCACCAACAAAATATCCCATTGCCTTACAAAAGATGGAGGAAAAGAGTAGCAGCAAATGCCACAGTCAAAGGAGTAGCCCCAAAATGGTCAATGAAGAAATCAGCGAACAATTCCAGTGGCCCTCTGTTGAGAAAGTCCTGGGCTTCAACTTGGTCAGTGCTCATTGAATTTAGGAGCAGATCTACCCCAGCTGGCACTAGCTGCAAGGTAGAAACATACAGGAAATGATGTTGTTCAAGTACTACTGCCATATTTTATAAAGGACTTTATCTATTATACTAAAACACTGAATTGCACACATGGGCATTTCAGCAGATGGAAGAAAACACAAACTGAATGAGTCATGCCCATATCCCTTGCTTCTATCAAATGGAGCAAGAGAGAAATTGCACTATGCAGTGATTGCAGCCTATGGATCAGTTTTAAGGGAAGATTAGGAGCCCATACAATAGTAATTGGCCTCAATCACTATTTGGGTGTGCTCTTACATACCCAGTCAGATTCTTAGCAGGTTACACTCCATTGATGTTCCAGCCTCCTGCCCAAAATCTTCATTTCTAAAGCAATGAGTTCTCTGTAGGGTTAATGTGTGAGGGCTGTAGATGTCTGTATGTCATTTCTTAAATGGCATTAAGTATGACAACAATAACAACTGGAAATAGACACAAGTATAGGAGTACTTGTGACACCTTAGAGACTAACAAATTTATTAGAGCATAAGCTTTCGTGGGCTACTGCCCACTTCTTCGGATGCATATAGAGTGAAACATATATTGAGGAGATATATATACACACATACAGAGAGCATGAACAGGTGGGAGTTGTCTTACCAACTCTGAGAGGCCAATTAAGTAAGAG